TGATAATATTGTGGGTTTTGTGTAATGAAGGTGTTGATATTTGGGATATCAATCAAATTCCAACAACAATCGATTATTTTTGATCTTTTTACTGATAATTTTTGTGGGTTTTGTGTAATGAAGGTGTATCAACAATCAATTGGATCTGCTTGCCAATTGGATTGGCCAAAAGATAGGATTTTGATTCAAGTTTTGGATGATTCAAGTGATGAATTGCTTCAGATGTTGATCAGAAATGAAGTGAATTCATGGAAAGAGAGAGGGGTGAATATAATCTACAGACACAGATTTCTAAGAACAGGATATAAAGCTGGAAATCTTCATTCAGCCATGTGTTGTGATTATGTGAATAATTATGAATTTGTTGCCATCTTGGATGCAGACTTCCAACCTAATCCTGATTTCCTTATTCAGACAGTTCCTCACTTTAAGGTAACAACCATACAGACTGTTTTCACCAATAATTGATCATGGGTATGCATACTTTCTATATTTAGAAACTATTTAACTTTTCTGTTTTGGTAAAAAGATATATATTGCAAGAATGGGGAGACCTAATGCACCATGGTATGGTCTATCGGTCTAGGGACTCGAGACTGCAATTTGTTCCCGTTCTAGTCTCGGTTGGACGGGATGTGGAGTTCTACATCAACTAGACTTTGACCATTTCTTTTTTCTGATATACGTTGGAACCTTCTTTTTGTTCAGAAGGGGTCTTTTTGGAGAGTAATCTGATGGGTTCTATTATTCTCACCTTGGTATCAGAACCAAGGTCTACCACTCTAGGGACTCGACACTTTGGGGCAATCTATACCCTTTTAGCCTCAGTTGGAGGGGGAGGCGACCATTTCTTCTTTAATATATGTTGGAACCGTTTTTTCGTTTTTCAAGGGCTCTTTACATAGTAATTTGATGGGGGTTTCACGTATTTTCACATGGTATCGGAGCCAAGGTTTACCATTCTAGGGACTCTGACACTGCCTGTGTAGCCATAATTGGAGGGGAGAAGGCATGTTGGAGTCTTACATCAGTTAGACTTGGACCATTTCTTCTTTGATATATGTTGGGACCTTCTTTTTTCTGAAGGGCTTTTTTTGGAGATTACCTTGATGAGGGTTTCACGTATTCTCACATGGTATGAAAGTCAAGGTCTACCACTCTAGGGACACTAACATTCCCCGTCTAGCGTTAGCTGGAGGGAGGAGGTGTGTTAGAGTTCTCATTAGTAAGACTTGGACCATTTCTCCTTTGATATATATGTTGGAACCTTCTTTTTGTTTTTCAAGGGATTTTTTTCTATTCGTGTCTGTTGATAACCGTTCTCGTGAGTCGTTTGAGTCACTGAAACAAACATTTTTTTGGTTCAAGTCACTGAAACAACCTTTGTGGTTGGTTCGGGTTACTAAGGGCTTGTTTGTTAGCAACTTAATGAGCTTAATGGGACTCACAACTTATTTGGTCAGCAATAGATCACCGTTTGGTAGTGACTTTATGATATAGAAATTGACTTATTCAGTAAGCTTCTAGGAGTAACTTTATGCAGAAAGTCAAGTTTTTTTTTTCAAACCTACCCCTCCCAATTAAAAAACAAGTTCCTTTCATCTATGAAAAAACCCTCCAAAACAAAAACGTTCTCAATCTATACAGACGGATTAATACACATAAACAACTTTATCCATACAAGGCTTAATGGATAATCAACCAAACAACCCCCAAGGCTGTTGGCTGGAAAACTAGTTGTTGGTTAATAAGTTAGTTGGTAACACATAAACTAGTCATTTTTGATAAATAACATCTGATAAGCTAGATAACAATGTAAAATGACCTAAAAGGACAACTTTGCAGCATTCTTGCACCACGACCACCATTGTTGGTGATTAAGGATCTTCGGTTCTTATAATCTGTAATTTTTTGGTGATTTCAGGGAAAACCGGACTTGGGTCTTGTTCAAGCGAGGTGGTCATTCGTGAACAAAGATGAAAATTTACTCACAAGGCTACAAAATATCAATTTGTGCTTCCATTTTGAAGTCGAGCAACAAGTGAATGGCCATTTTCTCAACTTCTTTGGGTTCAATGGTACGGCGGGAGTTTGGAGGATCAAAGCTCTAGAAGATTCCGGTGGTTGGCTTGAAAGAACGACAGTCGAAGATATGGATATTGCCATTAGAGCACATTTGAACGGATGGAAGTTCATTTACCTTAACGATGTCAAAGTTCTTTGTGAATTGCCGGAGTCTTATGAAGCTTATAAGAAACAACAACATCGATGGCATTCGGGTCCTATGCAACTCTTCCGACTTTGCCTTCCTGCTATCCTTTCTTCCAAGGTTCGTTAAGATTTAACCGGTTATTTTCAAATCTTGAAATCCGTCAAGTGTTATACGATGAAACAACTTATTGCAAAAGTCCCGTTTGGTTGGCCATATACCAGCTTTTTAGAAATTACTTCGAGTAGCGTTTCAATAAACTCTCAGGGGCTTCTTTTTCCATTTTTTTTCCAAATTATTCCCCTTGTATATATATAATGTAGAGGGAGGTTTAGATGAAAACCCAAAAAAATGAAAAATTGAAGGAAACCCTAATAACTGTTCATTTGTATGTTATGCACATGTGCGTACCGGAAAAACTACTTACAAGTTACTTGTATATACATGTGCATACCGTACAGATAATCGGTTACTAGGGTTTTTCTCAGTTTTTTTAATTTTTTGCGGTTTTCCCCTAAACCTGTTTTTTTTGTTGGGTTAATATTTTAACATGTCCTTTTAAGTCATTTTATATTGATATCTACTTTATCAGCTAGTTTTTATTGAACATAACTAGTTTTTCAGCTAACTTTACACCTAAAAGCTAGCTTATTTTCTAAGCTCCGTTTGCTTAGCCATAAGCTAGCTTTTTGAAAAGCTACTTTTGATAAGCCGTGGATTTTTTCCACCTTTTTATCTGTTATAACTAGTTTATCAGTTAACAGTAAGCTTAACAGCTGACAACTAAAAGTTAGCTTATTAGTACACATTTGATGTTTCAGCTTATCAGCCGACGGGTAGTTTATCAGCCAACAACTAACTTATCTAGTTCTGATCTTCTTGTAGATATCGAAGTGGAAAAAGGCGAACTTGATCTTCCTGTTCTTTCTTTTGCGGAAACTGATTCTACCATTTTACTCGTTCACTCTATTCTGTGTGATTCTTCCGCTAACAATGTTCATACCCGAAGCCGAACTTCCGATTTGGGTTATCTGTTACGTCCCCGTTACCATGTCGATCTTAAACATCCTCCCATCACCAAAATCATTTCCGTTCTTGATGCCATACCTGCTCTTCGAAAACACAATGTCCGTGACCAAATTCAACGCGATGGTCTCCGGCCTCTTCCAGCTCGGAAGCGCCTACGAGTGGGTCGTCACCAAGAAAACCGGCCGGTCGTCGGAATCCGATCTCTTGGCATTTGCAGAGCGGGAATCCAAGAGTTTCAACGAAGAGAAAATCCAGAGACGGTTATCGGAATCCGGGCTCGAAATGCTCGGAAAATTGAAGGAACAAGAGACTCCGGTCGTCGAAATCGAAAAGAAGAAGAACCGGATTTATAGAAAAGAACTTGCACTTGCTTTTCTACTGCTTACTGCTGCCACAAGAAGTCTTCTATCAGCTCATGGAATCCATTTCTATTTCTTGTTGTTCCAAGGTTTGTCGTTTTTAGCGGTCGGGCTCGATTTGATCGGCGAGCAAGTGAATTGAGAACCGTTTTTTCGATCTGGAAAGTTGTTAGAAAAATGAAAGAATACAGAAAATGGTCGGGTCATGGGGTTTTTCTACGACCGCAGGGTTCGGGGACACGAATCGAGTAAATACTTATTCAATAAGGTAATCGTCCCACTGGATATAGAGCGATACTAGAAACGATATTGGAGTTAATTTTTTGTTACGTTTTTTGTATAATTAATCACAAGTGTTGTTAATTCTTCGATCGTTGTTTAGTTAATAGGACCCGATACTTGCCGAAAGGCGTTGCTATATAAAAAGATTCGTTTCGTGCTGCATTTGATCGGCACCTAATATTTTGTGTCGTATTTTTGTTGCGAACCGGGTTTCTCGGATGCATCTGAACGGTGAAAAATTGGCCTGATTTCAACTATTAATTGTTGGGTTCGGAAAGAGATTACAGTTGTCCTGTTTGTTAGCAACTTAATGAGCTTAACAAGACTCACAACTTATTCGGTCAACTATCTATGTTTGATATTTTAATGATATAGAAAGTAATTTATGGCTTGTTTTTTAAGCAGTTTAACGAGACTTCCAGCTTATTCGATCAATTATACAATAACTGTGGCTTAATGATATGAAAAGTTGCATTCACCAAGTTTTTACGAAGGAGCTTTTATGTATACCTACCGATCAATTCCCAGAGACAGTTTTATCAAATACACTTTATCCAAAAGCACTTTATCCAAAACTCAAAAATGCTTGTTATCAGAATAAGTCAAGTAGTTTTTATAAGCGATCCTAAAGTATAGATATAAATAACATACGCATTCCCCAGACTTCCGTTTCTTGATTCAACCGGCTGGGCCAAAAACGCAACTGGGTGAGAGTTAAATAGGAGTCAGTAGTGGTTTTTGAGGAATCGAGCAATCTGTTAGTGTCAATTGAAGAATTGAGGCAGATTTGACCCAATTAAAACGTAGCCGTTTCTGAGTGCCTCAAGGTATGTCATCTTATACATGGGTTTCTTTTCTGGGTTATTTTGGTGAGGATGGTGTGTTGAAAAGATCAATCTTGAGGTTAATTTGTTGAAGTTGTATGTTCACCTTTTATTTTGCTGGTATAATAAATTTGTTGGGGTTGTAATTGTTTTTATAACCCAATGAGCATATAAGGTGTTCGACGTAATGTCTAAAAGAGATGGGTCTTGCTGTTGCTGCATGTTTGACGTGCATATCCGTACACCTTTATCTTTTGTTTTTGGGGTTGGATTTTGGTTAATTTACATTTTGACCGTTTCATGTTTTTGATGTCAATCATTTGCATATTCGAATCACTAGTTGCTACCTTTTAGTTGTTCTATATGCTTTTATACACAATTGCAACCCACATGTATTGATTGCTTTGCTAGTTGTGCTAGAATGGAATTGGAATATTAAACTCGAGTTTCATAGATGCCATCATTCTCTTAAAGGAGGGAAGTTCCATTAGAAACCCAGGGACCGCATGCAGCACGCCATATGCCCCTCCTCAGATGAATATTCATCATAAATTACACGTCATGATGATTTGAGAGACGGACCTTGAAATTTTTTCAAGTGGTGACACCATTTGACTATAAAAAACAAAGATATGGATATGTTTTATAAAATCATCATCGGCCTATTGGTTAGTTTTTTGCTTTTCATATTTGAGGTCTTGTGTTTGAGCCTTTATTGGAAATTTTTCAGAAACATAATAAATCTGAAATTAAAAGCTAAAAACTAAGAAACGGGGTTCGAACCCGGGTCTAGGGTGGGAGAAAAAGCCATGCAAACCAACTCTCCTACGAAAAGTTGTGTCATCATTGTAGTTTCAAATGATATATGGTTGCACTGAAGAAAATGATAGGGTGGCACCTCTCACGACCCTATATTTTTTACTCTAAACGAAGTGGTGGCCCGTGCTACCGTATCCAATAGAGTGGGTCCACCCTTGGCACTGTGGGCGGTTCTGGGTTCCTAATCAATTTTCCTAACGGAACCTGCCCCCTTTTAAAGATACTTTGTTTTAATGCATCTTTAAGTTTGCTTTTCTCCTATAAGATATTTACTTCTCCATGCAGTTAGAGCTACATAAAAATGGCGGTACTATCGTGCTCAACAACACATTCTTCAATAAGATCGGCGTTACATTCTTCTGTTGTCACTATAACTTCGGCCTCTTGTAACTGCCTCAATATCAATTTCATTCAAATGAATAGTCATTCTATCTTAAGCAAAAAAACTTGTAGGATATATGCAGTTGGGGGCAATTCGCACCCAAAAGTTTGCGCAATTGATCCACATCGAACTTCTTCCACTACCCACCTAGGAAATTGGGAAGATCCCGATGGTAGTGATAGTGAAACGGACGAGGAGGAGGAGGAGACAGAAGAAAACAATCTCGACTTTGAAAGCGACTGGGAGGAAGAAAGAGATACTTCAGACGCCCCAGTTAATATGGAGAAATTGTCCACAAGCCAGATTGATTGCAAAGGTTTTTTTGCTTCTCGGCTTCGTCCGTGATTGGTTACCAGGGTGTTCCTCAATTTTCTATTTTTTGTGGTTTTCCCCTGAACCAAACCCTATATATATAGGGGCTTAATCATTTGAGAACTCCAACATTTAATGAGATCTATGAGAACTTCTATCTTAAAGTTTTGTTTCACATTATTTTTTTCCATCGAAGTATAACATTTGACGTATTGATTAACATATATTTGTTTCACAATGTCTTTGTTTCATATGTATTCGGTTCACAATGTGAAACTCTTTTACGTTTATTTTTTGTTTCACAAAAACATCAAAACGATTCACATTGTGAATTCGAGTACATGTGAAACAAACACATTGGATGACAAATTTATGTTAATCAATATTCTAAATCTAGTCTTGGATGAAAAAGAATAATATGAAATAGCACATGATGCACAAGTTCTCAAGGTTATCACAATCTCATGGGTTCTCAAAAGAAGGCCCCCTATATATATAGGGTTGGATTCGAGTGAGAATGAAAGTTATGATGAGAAAGGTAAGAAGGGATCTCCACCCTTGGATCAATCCTAATCGAAAATCAACACTAATGCGGTGCACCGAGATGAGCCTGATCAATTCCCGTGATAAACGCAATTCACGGGTGGAGGTGAGATCAAAAGTGATCAAGGGTCCTAATCCCTTCTTATGCTTCTCACTTTAGCTCCTATTCTCACACAATCCTTTGTATATATATATATATATATATATATTAGTTGGGTGCAAGACTCCCCCCTTTTTCTATGTTCATTACACTCATGTATCGAGCCTTGTCTTCAACGACATTTTTTTAATCATTGCAGAGGTTGAAGAACTTTTAACACCAGAAGAAAGAGCAATCTTGCAACAGAACGAAACTCCCAATCTCGACAAAATATCAACTGTAAGTTTCAAGGATCTGGATAACCCATTGTTCTATAAGCAATATGCTCATGACCATGACGAGATTGTTAGGAAATAATCTCCTTTTCACCGACTTTTAAGCATCAAATTTGATTTTCTATTATTTTATAACTCAGGAGAAGTGGAATCCTTTGCATACATTGGCATTGGCAGGGCAGATAAAGTTCATGGACAGCCTTCTAGGAAATGGATTTGATATTGATGCAGTTGATAAGGTAAGGTAGTACGGTCCACGAGATCATTTCTAAGAGTGTGAATAGATTTACACCCCCCTGCCCGCCCCCCTGCCCCCAGGCACCTGGGTTCTCTGAAGCAACTAAGTAGTAATTTGCAAGCAGGATGGCCAGACCGCTCTTCACAAAGCAGTTTTAGGTAAAAAGGAGGCAGTCATTAGTCATCTGTTAAGAAAAGGTGCAAGTCCTCATGTTCGAGATCTGGTGAGACACTTCTCCTTCAATTTCGATATCATTATTCCTTTGTTTTTGTTTTAGGAATCACTAATGCCATTCTTTGACAACCATAAACTTAACTCTTTTTGGTTAGCTATAAAGCTAGCTTTTTGAAAATATACTTCAAGTAACATTTCAATAAGCTTCAGCGTTTTTCCCCACTTTTTGTCGATTATGCCCCTTATATTTTTCCAATTAATTTTTTACAACATATCCTTTTAGGTCATTTTACATCTTCATTTAACTTATCAGCTAGTTTTTTACTCCCTCCTTCCCAAAATAAATGTCCACAATGAAAATGATACAGTTTTAGGAGTGTGTAATTATTACACTTTTAAGTAAATGAATGACACTTTTACCCTTCATAATAGTGAGAAATTTTATGTATCACATAATTAAGGGTAGAATAGCGAAGTACACACTTAATTTTGAAAGTAGACACTTATTATGGGACAAACTAAAATAGATACGTGGACACTTATTTTGGGACAACTAAAATAGAAATGTGGACACTTGATTTGGGATGGAGGGAGTACCAAGCATGATTAGTTTATCAGGTAGCTAATTTTTCAACATGTCCTTTTAGGTCATCTTACATTGTTATCTAGCTTATCAACTAATTTTTACCAAACATGATTAGTTTATCAACTAGTTTTTCAGCTAAAACTTAGCTTTTCAGCTAACGGCTAACTTATCAGCCAACAACTAGCTTATCAACTAGTTTGTGAAACATAGCCTAAATATCCTTGTGACAGGATGGTGCTACTCCACTTCATTATGCAGTTCAAGTGAGTGCCATGCAAACTGTGAAGTTGCTGATTAAATGCAAGGTTGATGTGAACGTTGCTGATAATGTAAATATCAATTCGTTTTCCCGTCAATTTTTTTTTATCAATTTGGTATTTCCATCTGTTAAATACTCGTCCTTACAGGAAGGATGGACTCCGTTGCATGTAGCTATGCAAAGTAGAAGCAGAGACATAGCAAAAGTTCTACTTGTGAATGGAGCCGACAAGACAAGAAGAACCGAGGTAAGCAAATTCTATGCCAACATGCTTAGGATCGTTAATCGCACACACACACAATTATATTTGCAAGAAACATTGCCCTTGAGCGTGTAGCTCAATTGGCAAAGGGGCAGGGGGCGGGAAGACACTGCTCAAATACATAAATGGTTCAAGTTTGAATCAGAGACGGGCTTGAACCCCTTTGCTAGCCTCAGCCGCTGCTGAGTCAGCTCTGAAATGCCTCCTAACATGCGGTTCCTAGGGTGTGGGTTCCATGTGGGGACAGTCAGGGTTGCTCGTAATCAACCTTTTGCTCGAATTGCAAGAAACATAAAAAAATGGAACACAATACCTACATGGTTTAGCAATTCATCTACATTCATGGTTGCTGCTAGGATTCTTATATATCTCGTGAATTCTTAAGGAAGAACGTCCACCCTTATATAAAGAGATAACTTTATCCCCCGACCATTTGTATGCTTGCACGCCATATCACATATTTTACCTTATTACGATGTCTGCCTGCACACCATTGCATCATGCACACGTCATGAGTCGTTTTTCTACTTGTTATATTTCCCATCGTATTACCTATCTTGTTGTGTGCTTGCACACACGCTTGTGCGTCGTGAGCTTTTTCACGGAAACAACCTCTTGATTTTGTGGTTGAGGTAAGATCTGCTTACATCCTACCCCTCTCAAACCCTACTCCAAGTGGGATCTAATTAGCTTAGTGAGACTCGGCTTATTTGGTCATCTATACATGACTGTTTGGTAGTGGCTTAATGACATACAAAGTTTCTTATTCAGTAAGCCTTTTCCAAACTCGCCCCTCTCAATTAAAAAACGTGCTCCTTCCATCTATGAAAAACTCTTTTAACCAAAATAAAGTTTAGAAAGGTGGTTAACTATGTTATTTGGATCTAATCATGTGACGGTTGAGATCTATTCTCACATTCTCAACCTTTTCGTCATTCTCATTTGAACCTCACCCCTCTACTCGTTTAGGCTGCGTTTGGTATATGGGATGGGACAGGACAGGACAGGACAGGACAAAACCCACTGTCCCATGTTTGGCGCAACATGGGACAGGACAAAACCCACTGTCCCATGTTTGGCGCAACATGGGACAGAACAAGAACTCACTATCCCACGTTTGGCGCGACATGGGACAGGGACAAGAACTGGGATAAGGTGGGACAACATGGGACAAAAGAGGTTTTTTCTTGTTCCACCAAAATAGATGGAACAAGATGGGACAAGAATGGGACAGTGGGTTTTGTCCTTTTTTTTATAACCGTGGGTGTCCATGACAGCTTGTGCATACTTCGACTAATCCCAAGTGGACCTGCGAATAATCATTTTCCTAAATTTGATTGTGTTTCAGGATGGGAAAACACCCCTTGATGTAGGTTTATGTTATGGGAAAGAATTCAAATCCTATGATCTTGCTAAACTACTGAAGCTTGTACCAGCAAACAGATTGTAGATATACAGCTTATGGTGCACCCGCTGGTGGAACATAATGGCGACAGCAGGGCCCATGACCCTCGTTTTTAATGTTGAAAGTGAAAGATATCGAAGGCGATGTCATGTTTCATTTATGGTTCTCGAGTCGAATGACAAATGGAGGCTTGGGTCGTTGGTAATTCATGTCGTGTTAATGTCTTGTTGTTTTAGTATTCGATCCATATGATGTTTGAGAGAAATCGTCTCAAATTAGTATGTTTTAGACGTTGTTTTCGTTTTTATTGGGTTGGGTTGAGATGTACCAGTTGAAACTTTGGTACATCATTTTACAATCTAACTAAGTGTTTTTGTTTAAACTAAGTAAAATTAAAATGAGAATATATAGAAAAGATTAACAAACTAATTTTTTTTTTTGAAGATTCATACAAATAAAAAAGTAAAATTACAGTTAAAATTGTAATATAATTTTGAATATAGCTAATATCAATTAAAAACTAAACAATTATTTTAAATCACAGTATAAAAAGATGTGAGATTTATCGGGTTGGATTGAGTTCAAATTACCCTAACCAAAATGCACAATTCCAACCCAATAGATACGGTTTAACCTAATTTTGTATCAACTTTGTATCAAGTTAGCTAGGGTTCACTTTTTTTGAGTTGGTCTGTTTTTGGAGCACCCCTAGCAAGACACAACAAAATTTGATTTTTTTTCCTATTCAGCGTAACGGATATTATTTTTTTGACAATTGATGTAACAAAGTTTTAAAAATTTATTTTTGATTAACCTGGATATCCACCCTGCTATGCGAGCCGACTAATTCCAAGACAACCACCTGCTTTGCGGATAGCCTGGAGTCATCGCATTTGAACAAGAGGATTTTTATTACTTATTGGATTAAAAATATAATAATAAAATTTATATGATTTTTTTAATTTATAAAAAAAATTACAGTGAACTTATAATTTATCGATTAAAAATATAATAAAAAAGTAAAAGAATTAAATAAAAATCAATAGCATTTTGAGGATTTTTTTTTTTCTAGTATGACTATGAACAACGCCTGCGAGAGTTGGGCCTAGCCATGGTGGTCCGTCCGCCATGAATGAAAACTCAATCGATAAGTCCGATACTTTCGCCACAATTAGCCCAAAATTCTTCTACTAATGAATAATGATGTGATTCCTGAGTCGTCCGTTTATCTGGACTGATAATTTACTTGGCTTCAACAACAGTACGTAATTGCTTTCTAAAATCAGTTTTTATAGTCATTGATCTTTGTATCTCTGTGAACTATTGTGATATGAATCATAATTGAAATGACTATGAAAACTGGGATGATTAGGGTAGGATTGACGGTTTTGATTCTTCCTTTTGATGTAATTATATCAAATTGGCTTTACTGATTCGCTGGTGAATTATGTTTTCAGGTTTGCAATCATCAATGGAGAATGGGACGGACGCGTTCTACGTTGTGAGGAAAGGAGATATCGTTGGTGTGTACAGGAGTTTGAATGATTGCCAATCTATGGTAAGGTTGATTATGAAGTCGGAACTATTCTTTCTTTTGGTTTTCAGCTTCATCGTCTTCCTATATTGATCTCTTGGTCCTTTTAAGTTACTTTGTTACTCGATACACGCTTTTTTGTGTACCAAAACGCACCTTACATCGAACTTGGTCGTCCTCCATTGATGATTGCGAAGAACTAACAGTATGCCCTAGCTAATACCAAATACTAAGTTCCATCTGACAGCATAATTCACAAGCGAAACAGTAAGTCAATTTACAGATTGATGGTGCTGGAAGAATCAAAATCGTCAATGAGTACCCTAATCATCCCTATTCGGAGTCATTCCAATTACCATGCAAAAAATGATGCATATATAAAATTTGATTTCAGCATGTGAGATAGTTAAAACTGAACATCACCAAAACATTTATTTCTTTCAGATTCAACAACTACAAATGTTCTAGAACTTGACGTAACCAAATTAAAAGTCTTGAGTTCGAACTGCTAAGGGTGATCTGGGTTGAGTTGATCGGGTTGAAGGCATTTGAACAACCCAACCCACTGTTTGCGGTTTGAAAAATCTCAATCCGAACCCAAACCAAAGTGTAACCCAACTCAACCCAAACAGTGCGGGTTGGTCGGATTGATACTTTGTTGCATTAAAATATCCTCCTAACCTTGAATATGTTGTTTTCTCTACTCATAATTCCTTTGGCATCATTAATCATCTGGTAATTCTTAAGTATATCACATTCAACTACTCTTCTCAATTTGCATATATATGTTCTAAAACTTATATATGAAGGAGTTATACAGAGATGGAGAAGAGATTGAAAAATATATGTATATGAAGAGGGTATGTAATGGTGTAATTGTCTAATGTACATAGTAATAAGGATTTAACAATCATATTAAATCTAAGAAATAAAAAGATATCGGGTTGGGTTGGGTTCAAATGACCAAACCCGATTCCAACTCAATACCTATGGTTTGAATATTTTACAACTCGATTAGACATTGGGCTGGTTTGGTTTGGTTTGAGTTATTTTGTGTTGGGTTGGCCGGGTTTTTGAACACCCCTACGAACTGCTACTGCCAATTACCAGATTTCTTTAGACAAACTGGTGGCAAAGTTTCACCGTCTTTCAAAAAACAGTACAGGGTTTCTCTCTGCCGCCTAATCTCCTGAGGACTTATTCTGCATCAGACTGATACACATTTGTTCCCACTATGTTGCTTGCTGGTTTCCATAGAACAGTGCTTGAGGTTGGACATGGCAGCCTTAAAAATTTTCGAGGACATGTAGGAGTACTTGGAGATGGAGGACCAGGGTAGCAGACTAGGTATGGG